GCTGACAATATGGAATGTGTTTTCCTGCAGTAACAGATGGCATTGCCACTGCTTTCCACGCATAGCCTGTCCCTGTTCACAGGCTTTCTGTCTGTTCCCTCTCCCCCTGCAGAAGAGCCGCTACGAGACATACATCAACCTGCTGTGCATGAAGATCAAAGTCGGGACAGATGACCTGGAGAGAATTGAAACCAGCTTCTTCAAGGTGGAAGCTGACGACATTGCTTTGCGGAAGACGCATTCCAGCCCTTCTCTGAGCCAAGGGCATATGTCTGTTAGCTGTAAGGTGGAAAAGGACATAATAGAGCAAAACACTTAACAAGGAACGTGCATGCAGGGGGAATGAACCGGCGGTGCTTTGCGCTCCTGGACTAGATCAATGAGCACAATTTTATCTAGGAAATCATACAAACAAAACCATAGAAGTGTATGACACGGTGACTGCTCTAGTGAAAGAAGTCAAAGAAGCTTTAGTTGACACTCCTTGGCAACGCTCTGGCATTTCAGCATCATAGATACTCCATCTCTTCTTTGTCCCCAACAGCACCAGTGGCTTTTCTTTCCCTCTTACCGCAGCCTGCACAATAAAGGGACACGTTTATTCTCCAGGGCCCGGTTGCTCTCTCCCACCAGCCCTCCTTCCTCCTCCCTGGAGTTTCCACCGGTTCCCGTCCGCGGTTCCCAGCAGCGCAGAAACTCGGCGGACGCATCGGGCTCTGTGGCAGCAGCAGTGCTGTGGGAGCAGGGCTCAGAGCAGCGGGAGCGCGTCCCTGCGCCGAGAGCAGCTCCGTGCTGGGCAGGACGCATCGCAGCGGGGTCGTTCTGTGAGATCGTCACTGACCACGCGAGAGGCATCTCCAGCACAGCGCGTGGGAAAGGCACCTGCCCGCGGCAGGAGAGACCTGAAGTGCCCTCTGTCACCTTATCCTTTTTATATATATATAAATATATATACATATGAATATATATATAAATAGATATATATATATATATAAGGAGACTTTAATGTGGGTTTTTAACCTCAGTGTGCAAGAGAAGTTAAGCTGCCCGGAGAAGACACTGGGGACCATGGAGAGCCTGAACAGTCCATCTGGACATCTGCAAAAATCCAGTAGCCTACATTTGCTTTTGGTTTCTTTTTTTCCTTTTTTTTCCCACTCAGATGGAAATCCCACCTGGCTTTGCTGCGAAACAGCGCTCTCCTGTTCCTGCTTGTTCAGACAGAGTGGCCAAGTGGCTATTGACCGTCCACAGCTTTGGGTTCAAGGCGTGGTGGGAGCCATGCTTCCGGTCCAGCTGAACCTTTGTGTGCGGGAGCAGTTCTGACTGCCCATCAGTGTCGTACTTCCTCCGTTCTGCGATCCATATGCTATGCTCTTTTCAAGGGGGGCTTGTGTTTCCATTCCTTTCTGCTGCCTGTGGTTCAATGATTTACCGTCGTACTGGAAATGATTCCACTGCATTTCAGTGCCACAACTGTCCTCCCACGCCTTGTTTATTTATTTTGCTGTTTGGTTTTGTCCTTTATCTCAGATTGCTTTTCTTTCCCCTAGGTGTTAACCAAGCTCCAGTTTTGAAGGATCCTGTAGCTGCTAACTACAGTCATTTATTGTTAATATTTTGCAGCACTATTTAAACAAAGAAAACAAGATTTATGTGGATCTTCAACAATGGAGAGCCTATGGACTACTGTTTTCCATGATGGCTCTTACTACTAAAAACCTCCACCCAATTTTATCACCTCTTCTTTTATCTCTCCGTTTCTTTGTACAGTTTGGTAGTTTATTTGAAATGATGCACTAAGAATCATGTTAAAAAGAATAACAATAAAGCTGAATCTGTTGGTAAAGAGAATTGGTTTGAAATGTGGTTCCAGTGTGTGCTGGATTGGTCCCAGGCTTTGTGGGTCCTAGATGGCCACATGCACACAGGTCTCCATCAGCTCCTGCAAAGAGGAAGCTGAGCCCCTATGGACAGCACCAGAAAGCAGCAATGCCTTTCTACAAGTGGAGCGTTGCACATCTGTGCTTTGGATGCTCGTGCTGTGGCTGGATGGCTCAGCAGTGGAGCTGGTGAGGCAGATGGGCTGCTCTAGCAACGTTCAGGTAACTCTTCCCCCAGTCTGGCCCATCCCTGGTCTGTCTGTCCCCGCACAGCCTGGAGGTTTTGGGGAGGAGAAAGATGCCAACATCTGCACCAGCGGTTGGAGATGCTTTGGATACTGTGCTCAGAGGAGCCCTTGCCAACACTGAGCTGTTTCTCCAACGCATTGCGCTCTTTGCTGTGTTAGACAAGCGCCAGCATCCCTTGTTCTGGAGACCTCCAAGACACTGCTGGTGCTGGAGATGCCTCTGACTCAGTGAGAGCCATGGGGAACTTCAAGCCCAACTCCTGCTCTGCATAATCCTAGGTAATATTTGGTACCTCACCCTGTCCTTTCTGGCCATCCCCTCCAGAAGGCAGTGCCATCTCCGGTGTGCCTGAAGAAGCCACCAAGAGCTACTCAGTCCTCAAGCTGAAAGCGCCATTTTGCCATCCTCGGACAGGAGTAAGTTGCAGAGAAGAGCAGGGTCTGGCGAAGCCTTCTCTGAGCACCAGGAAAGGGCCTCAGAGCTATGGGGTCCTGACCCACTGGATGTGGCACCCTGGGGTGAAGAGCCCTCAGCCCAGGAGTTTTACCTGTGCTTGATGACTGTCCTGATGCACAAGTGCGTATGCCTTTACAGTTGTGCTGAGCATCTTACCTACCAGAGGGCACACTGCCAACGGCTTTGCCCAGAGGCTCTGCAATCCCAAAGCTAAGGCCCCACGTTCCTCTGCTGCCTTCGTCACCCCATCTGCATCTGCAAAGCAGTTCCACCCTCTGGGAGAGGCAGCATCATGCATGCGGAGCAGCGCTGGCAGGACGTGCCAGTGGCTCCCCCCACCTGTGAAAATTGCTCTAAAATATTTATGGCTAAACCCTAGCAATACACGTGGCTGGAGATGAGGGCTCTAATAATAGAGCAGCGAGGGATAAAGGAGAGAGATGCAGGCTTCCTTCAGAGGCAATAGGAGAGAAAATTGAGGTAGCGTAACTGCCTCCAAATATAGAACACGATTACGGAAGCAAGGGGCACACTGAGCAAGAAATCACTGCAAGAAATCGTGAGTCTGCCATGGCTCAGAGCTTCTGATAGGTACTGAGCATCACAGAGGCCTGAAAAAATGGGGCAGTAACACACCTCCCCCTAAAGGACCCACCTATCCCTTTTTTGTGGCTGCTTTCCACGGGGATCCTCCCCCTGGGGCATCCCCCATGCCTGGGACGGGGTCAGGAGCTCTCTGCCCGCTCCTGTCGGGCTGATACGACCTCAGCAATTGTGCTTCCCATGAACACACCGTATTCCCTGGGGTTGCCCTGTGTGGGAGCTAGCCAGCCAGCCTTGCTCTGCAAGATCTAAAGAAGAAATGTGGTTGTGGATGGGAGCACAGCACGAACCCCGCAGTCTGCAGGTGAAGACACCTGAATAGGGGTTGGACAGGGGTCCCTGCCTGCCCCAGCAGCTGGGTTCTGTGTGTGGCCTTTGCTACAGTCCCCCACTGCCCCCAGATTGCCTTAGATCAATGCCGCCCACAAATTGTTATTTCTTATTTTATTTATAATATAAAAAATGTTCAAGTGTTAAACAGTCTAGAGTTCTGACATTCAGACAATCCAGAGCAAACTTTGACAATCATCTTATGACAAATTAGCAGAGTTTTCTATCTGATCCCATCATGGGTGAGGAATAGAGGGTTTAGTTACTTTATTGCTAAAAGTTAAATGAAATACACTGTCAATTGTTGTATTATCTTCTCAGTCACAGCTTCACCATGCATCCAATCTACAGTATCTGAAATGCAAAGGACATGCAGAAGTAAAAATATAAAAAGAAAAAAAGTCAGGCTACAATGTAAACAGGTTTGCTGCAGAGAACTGAGGAGAGAGGGGCACCTCCACGGGGATGCTCTGCCACCGGACACACAGGACTGTCTCTTTGCGCCACAGAGCCAACGGGCAGAGCTGCTCCGGGTTTGGAAACGCGACGTCTGTCGCCAAGAGCAAGATGTGACGGTAACAACCGCCTTCACGACGCACGGCACGGCGGTACAGAGGAACCCCCTTGCTGGGCTGCCCCCGGGGGGCCGCTGCCCTTCCGAGCGTCTGCAAGCAGGGCCAGAGCCAGACACCAGGGCAGCACGGCCAGCGGCTCCCAGGCGTGGCTCCAAGCACAGCGCATGGAGCACTGCAGCTCGCACAGCACCGTGGCCACCGCCGCACCGTGGCCGTGGGGACACCGCGGGCAGCACGGCACCGGGTCCTGGGCGGCACCGGAACCGCCGTGCGCTGCGCTGCCGCCCATCCACCAGGGCAGGCGCAGCGATGCGGGCCGAGCCGTACGGAACGGGGCTGCGCCTCGCCGCAGTCACACAAACGTCCCACGCATTGGACTACCGACCTGTGCCAACCCAACTTTGGACCCACGGGAAAGAGCCAAAGATTGAGAACTATTTGTTAAGGGCTGCTGCTGCACGGTTTCATTTTCTCCTCCTACCTGTGCGGCAAAAGAAACATCGTTTCTGCATTTCGGGATGGTGCTGTTGGATTTCTTTTTCTCCCGATTTAAGCAAAAATACAAGTATTTTACAGGGCAAGACAGATCCCCATCAGACATGGTAATGGAAATGCTCCCACTCATGTCCTTGGTGTGTGTTAAACAATACCTTAAAGAACAAGATCGTTAATAGCAGGGTACGGGGCAGAGTGGCGAGGCTGTTTTCTTCCGACGGAAGAGCACCCTTGTGACAGGTCGTCTCCCAAACAAAAATCTATGATCTTAAAAATGCTACTGAAACAGAATCCTCGGCATGAATCCCAGCACTAGCATACAGCAAAAGGCACCACGATAGTTTTTGTTTCTATTTTTAAGTAGTCAAAAATTGGCCCACCTTTTTTTTTTTTTAAATTTATTGTTTGTTTTCGTTTCTTCTTTTTTTTTTACTTTTTTTTTTTTTTTTTTCTCGGAAGCTGTAAATCAAGACATTACATATAAATAGAGATTCCCTATAAAAAAGTCATCGCCGTTAGCTATTATAAGACAACTTTGCTAAAATGAAAATAAAACATTTTATTTGTTATATTTTTTTTTCTCTTTTATATAAAATAAAAATATTTATTTTTGTCTCGTGTTTGTTCCGCCTCCCTCCGCCGCCTCCCCTGTGCGGTGCGTCTGCCGGGCGCCTAGAGGGGGTCGGGCTCTCGTTTGGGCGTCGTGTGCGCCAGGCTGCTGCGCCCGCTGCCCCCGTGGGCGCTGTGCCGGCTGTACGGGTGCTGAGTCCGGCTGTCGCCCGGCCGGTGGAGCGGCGGCGACTCTGTGTTTGTCGCCTCATTGTTCTGAGTGCTTAGGAAGGGCGTGCTCTCGGCCACCAGCTCCTCATCAGACTCGCTGTAAGAGGCGCTGCTGAAGGAGAAGGAGTCCCGGACAGCTCTGGCTCTGTGGGGGACGTGCCCGTTCAGTTTGGACTTTTTCCACCGCCTGTTGCTGCTGGCTGTTTTCTTTGGCTGCTCTAGCGCTGTGACGTACTCCTGCGTCGTCTCGTATTCGTCGTCCTCCGTGATGCGGAAGGGGCTGGAGGGCAGGCTCCCCATGCTGTCGTTCAGGTAGGTCTTCCTTTGGTAGTAGCTGTCGTAGCGCTGCGTGTCCTGGAAGGGCAGTTGGTACCGCCGCAGCAGGGGCTGCTGCTCCTCCACGCGGAAGCTGATGGGGGCTGCTGGCGGCAGGGAGACGGCGTGCGCGGAGTTGGGGGAGGTGATCTCGAAGGTGGGCACCTGCGCCGCCATCGAGTAGTGGAAGTCGACGGGCGACAGGCGTGCTGGTGTGGTCAGGGCCGACACGTACCTGAGGAAGGAACAGCTCCATTGGACACTGAGCAGCCCACAGGCCGGGGGGGCTCGGGGCGAGCCCAGCACGGCCATCAGGACTGAGCCTTACCCAGGACATCACAATTCCCACCCTCTGGTTGCCCACGTTGCCTTCTGCTCCCTCTGCAACTGTCACGCTTACCTAGGGAAGGGCCCCCAGAGGTCTTCACATGCTGAAGTCTGGGTACTGCTTCACCTAACTTTGCAAAAATCTTCCATACAAAAGGCCTCTACAAGCCTTCATCTACACTACTTACATGAGCACGGTGGCTCAGTGGTCTGGCCCCTCTCTGTACAGGCTTTCCTTTGGCATCACCTCCTTCTAAGTAGCGGTTTTGTTTTTCACTCAGTAAAGCCAGTGTGCGTTGTCTCCACTCATTTCAGCCTGCTCCCACTCCCTGGGTTTCCCTATCCCTCCTCATGTCTCATGAAGTCTGAGATGTCTGCAGGCCATCTGAACGGACCAGGAAAAGAAACAAGAGAACAGCTTGCCTTCGCTGGACCAGTCCAGTCCCACCGTTTTAAGGAGAAATGCCTGGAACTCGTTAGATGGCCACCCAGGTTGCAGCACCATGGAGATGTGCTTCTGCAACAGCAGGAGCCAGGCCCACGAAGAGAACGGCTGCCACTGGCTGACAATGTCCCAGATCTGAGTCACACTGAACCCGTCCCCAGGCTGCAGACAAGCAGCATGTCTGTTCTCCATCCCACCCAGAGGTATTGGAGGACTTGCTCCTCGCCCTAAGGATCACGATGAGGCTCAGCCTTGGCTTGAGCTGCGTCCCAGCTATTTGCCTCCCCCTCTGCCAGGGCCTCGGCTGTACTCACCACCCGGTAGCTCAGCCAGATTTAATTCACCAGCTGTAACAAGATATTTTCAGCTGCTCCCAAACCTGTGCACGAAACCTACATGGCCTCCTGCTTAGCAGGGGCACCTGTGCAAAGCACACTGCTGCCCTACCAAAGCGGCCTCCTGGGACCGTGGCTTCTTCGAGGGTTTCTCCTGCACTACCACAGGAGCTTTGTGCCTGGCACAGAGGGGCAGGGCTGCACGGGCTCTGACCTCTCGCTGTGCGGTGAGTCCCGCAGTGAGTCCACCGAGTCGCGGTACTGCGCTGTGGGCCGCCGCGAGTCCTCAATGCAGAAGGCAGCCCCACGGCGGGCCCGCGCCTCCACGCAGGCAGGGCTGTTGCATTTACTGGTTCCCACCGAGGACAGCATGATCCCGGACTGGGAATCGGAAGTCAGGCTCTCCGTCCGCTCCAGGCTCCAGGTGTGGCTTTCATGTCTGTGAATCAAAGCCCACAGGGACAGTGAACAAGGAATCCCTTGGGGAAGGCCAGCACCTTCTCCAAAAAGCCACACACAGCCACAGATCTCACCCTGAACTGATGCCTCCTTTCTCTGTCTCACTGCATTGGATCAGGGAGGCCCAATTTTGATATGCCTTTCCTTACTGTTTCCTGGAGGTATGACTAGAGGACAGCAAGGCTGCCCAGTGCACACGGGGTATTTAGTGCATCACCTCCTGGCAGCTGGGGACAGGGTAGGACGGCGTCTGCAGGGTGGCCTGGGCAATTCTGCTTTATTTTGGTGCAGAGCGATGCACCGGCCTTGCCAAAACAGGTCTGCAGAGGACCTTCAAAAATGCCACTGCACACACTGCCAAGAAACAGATCCTTCTGAAATGCTACCAGAACAGTGTCAGAAGAAAAGGCTCAGAATTATATTGTGACCAACACAGAGAAGCATTACCATTCATTTATAAAGGGCTTTGGCAGCAACACATGCTCAAGGAGCTAGACAAAAACTACACTGTGCTGGGTACTGCTGGGCAGCACTTGGAGGTTTCCCCGCGCTTGGCTTGGTGTAGAGATGACATCCCACACAATGGCAGAGCATGGAGTCCTGTACCCACACCACCAGGCCGACTGCACTCCTGTGGCACAAACACACAACCCACAGGAGCAACAGCTCTGAACTCCCAGATGGCACCAGATGGAGCTGTGCTGGCAGAGGGTTTGGCGTGGGGGTTTACAGAGGCCTCATTAAAACTTCCCAAGAACGTTGTTAATTATTGATGGCTCTGGGCACATGCTTGGTTGCAACCATGACATTAATTTATAACTTCAAAAAGCATCCTCATTAGAGTATGAGCTGATCAAGTAAAATGGAACCTGATTCTGCCAGCAGTTTGCCTCTGGCATGACTTCAAGAAACACCTGCTTGCTGCACTTGACTCACAAAAATTCATATGGCAGGTAGCCAGGACCAGAGGCTGTGCAAGGTAGGTGCTTCCCACACCTGGCATGTATTAACGTGGCCCTTCAGACACGAATTTGCATCTTCAGATGTGCCCAGAGGTGGCCATGGGGTCTGAGGACTTTGAAGTCAGACTGTAATGCCATCAAGGTGCAGCTCTGCAGGAAAAGGAGCCTCTGTACACATTGCTCAAGCCTGCACACACCTAGCAAGGCTTGGAATGAAGTGTAAAAATTAAAAAAAAAGAGCCTGGAAAAGACACCATCTGCCCACCAAGGGTAAGATTTCCCTGGCTAAAGGCAGGCATTTCCAGCCCAAAAAGTCATTCTTGGCTCCCTCTCTGCTCACTGCAGGTCAAGTCAGTTGGAATCTGGGGATGAATTTACCTGAAAACCCAAGTTTGATATCTGAAGTTGTTCCACTACCTAATGAGTGCTTGAACCTGGAAGAAATCTGCTGGGACACATCTTTGAGCTTTACCTGGAAGAACTGTTTGCTTCCTGGACAGGTGGATACAAACAGCCCCGGCTAATAGTAACTAAGCCCCGACATCTTTTGCTTGACAAAGCTCATGCAGCGGATCCAGTGTGACCACTGACAGGAGGTAGATAGGACCCCCTACACCTCACAGTCATTTCTCAAAAGCAGGCACTCTCATGGCTAACACTGCTGCTTACTGGAGGAAGCACAAGAGCAATGCAAGATGGAGAACCTGAGCAACCAAGCTTCAAACAGTACAGGGCTTTCTTAGAGCATTTGAAGGACTTTTCTGGGCACCACAAAAATGGAGAAGTTCCATCTGCAATACAAATGCACTCAAATCCAGTGAGAACTTTGGCCTCTGAGCCAGGCTGCTGCTGTCCCCCAGGATGGCTGTTTTAGAATGTGAAAAATTAGTGGGGTTTTTTTGTTTGTTTGTTTGTTTTGTTTTGTTTTGTTTTCTGGTGAAAACTTCATTTTCAGCTTTGCAGAACTAGGCAAAATAAATAAATTTTAAAGAATGGTGATATTTGTCATGTTCTGCCTTGCACAAGGCAAACAGATGCTAAATATCTCAAAGATTATATTAATAACCTGTGCATACTTAACGAATTAACACAGGCATGCAGCGTAATCGCGATCACAACTTGCAAAACCATTCCTAGATGCATCCTCCTATTTGACTGAGCTTGTGCAAGGCGTGAAAGCACTACTTCATTTCCTCCTACTTCCCAGCTATTTCAGTGCTATGCACTCCTGCTGGCTCTTTGCTGCAGATCAAGCATCACACCTTTCCACACCTTTCTGCACCTCTCACTAATTGGTTATGCCAGCAACACAATCTGATCTGCAAGCACACTGGCATGGCCTGTATGATGGTGTGATGCCAAACATCAAGTAAAATCAGAGAGAGAGATGAAAGGAAACCCTTCTACTGGCTTTGAATCTCACAGCATCCTAAGGCAAGCAGCAGTTCAGTGTGAATGGCATACATCACCTCTGGCTGGATGTTGGAGTGGCTGTGGAGCAGTGATGTGACGGTGAGCAGGAGTGACTTCCTGAAAAAGTTGTCTCTGTTTCCCTCCGGATGACATGTTCAGTGGCAGAAACATTCTTAGAAATATACTGTAAAATATGAAGAACCACATAGATCAGCCAATAGCTTGCCAGCACTGCCACAGCCAAGTTCTGCTGGCTGGATTGCTTCTGGTGAAATCACCAGAGGACTGAGTGAACTCTGCAGCTCCGTGCCCCACGGGAGGCAACAAGGAAACTGAAAAATGTCATGCAGCGCCCTCCCCTCTGCCTCTGCACTTTGGACACTGGAAAGGAGCTATGATACAGGGGCTGCAGAGGGTTACAAAGAGCCGAGGGTTTCCCCAGATTGCTGTGGGAGGACATACAGCTGATGCTGCTGAGCAGAAATCCATCTCTTTGCAGGAGGTTGTGCACCTGACAGAGTGCCAGCAACAAGGCAACCGCATGCAATCTGTCACAGACACAAGTCCTACTGACATACCAAGTGTAATACAAATATTTATGCTGAAATATCCCTTCACCTAACAGTAAGCAGGGTCAGCCATGCTTTCCACAGAGAGACTAAGCCTCTGGGGGAGACAGTATTTCAGGTTCACGTGGCTGTGATTCTTTAAATTTTCCTTGCCCTCATCCTTCATGGCCAACTATCCACTTAGCTAAATGTCAGCATCACAAGAGTGACCCAGGAGAGCTTGTACCTCATTCAGGACGCTGATTCTACAAGGGCATGCAGTGATAGGACACAGGGTAATGGTTTGTAAAGAGGGGAGATTTAGCTTAGACGTATGAAGATGTTCTTTACTCAGAAGCGGTGAGGCCTTGGCACACACTGCCCAGGGAAGTTGTGGATGCTCCATCCCTGGCAGCAGTTAAACCAGGCTGGGTAGGATCCTGGGCAGCCTGAGCTAGTGGAGGTCTTCCTACTCACAGCAGGACAATCGTTAAGGACCCTGCCAACCCTAATCTGTGATTCTACGATTGTGCTTTCTATCAGCAATCAGTGCCCCCTTGTGCATGGCACATGAACCTCTGCACACAGAAAACACTACGAGAGGGCAAAAGGAAGTTTCCAAAGCAAATATTCAGAAGCTGGGAAACTGCAAACCCTCATCCTGGAAGAATACACCTTCAGCTTCAGGTCTGCCTTCCCTCTCCCTTTTTCTGATCCCGTTCAATGTTTTAGTCCTAGCAAGGCACTTAAGCATGTTTAGAACAGGAACACAGAGCTCAATGGGATTCTCACATCTCAGGAGCGGCTGAACGGTTTTCCTGGATCCAATCCTAAATACTCAGACGGGTCTCAATAGAGCGACAGTGGCACCCCACTGGGTTGTCCCACGCTGCAAAGGAGCAGCAGGTGGACAGACGTGGAGCTGTTCAGATCACCACAATGGGTGAGACAGTCACCGTGGTGGCTGAGCCTCTGCTGTGCTAACCCTATTTATTGTGCCATGAAATGAAGCTCGACAGGACAGCGTAATAAGCAGGAAACATTGGGAATGCCTTCCAGGGAGGACACCAGGATCACACCTGTCCTGAGTGCCCTAACCTCATGCTCAGTGTATCAAAGTAAAATGGCAATTCCCTCTAGATTTTGTTTTGGGAAAGGTTTCCATGCAGAATTTCGTGCTTTTGTTCAAGTTGTATTTTGCTTCTCATGCACAGGCACAGGCAGGTGTAAGCATGCAAATCCACATCAAATCCCTGACAGACAATGAGCACTCAATAAAATACAGGGTCTTATGAAAGGTCTTACATCAGCCATTTGGATTTCCTCTGGATCCAAACGCGGATGGCTTGGCCCATTTGCAAGGCTCCTGTTCTGATGGGCATGACACATGTTCTGTCGTAAATGATTATGCATCTGTTTTCTTTGCTTCCTTTAAAAAGGAAAGGAAAAAACTAAATTAGGAGGATTTCTCTCATGAGGCCCAAGTGTCTCTGGAGGAAGCAGATGATAAAGGAGGTAGCAACCAGGTTTTCATTCATCTTTCAGACACTTTTCATGTTTTGACGGTGTTTGTGGACAGCTGTGAACAGGAGGAAGCAAGACATTCAACATTAGCCACTTATGCTGCCTTTCCAAAGAAATGTGAATGTTTTCTGCTATAGGCAATTCACATAGTTGGGTCCAATGGTCTTCAAGACAAGCAAGACAAGCCCCAGGACAATGCAGTGGAGGCAGGGGGAGTGTGGGGCTGGGCACCGAGGAGAGAAGTGGGGAGAAGAGAAAGGAGAACCAGTCCTGGCTTGCCCTTGGTGGCAAGGCTCCTGTCCTGCATTAAGCACAACACAGGAAAGCCTCCCTGGGAGGACATCAACTTCACAAGGCTTCCTGTGTCCTGGGTAATAGTTGGACATTCCACACACAGGTGAGGGGCACATGGGGAGAAGGGTGCTGTCCGATCAGGGGAGGCTGGCCATGAATGAGGTCCCCAAACCTCTTGCTCAATCATCATTGCTTTGGAAGTTCCAGAACTGTAAACAAGTGAGCCCATAGCTCCTGGGCATTAGCCCACTGTGCTTCTGTTGGCTCAGGGGACAGCTTCTCCCAGCCACATGCCATCACCTGGCTTGGATACATGATACTGATTCAGGCGATAAAGAAATGGGAAACTTCCTGCTCACACAGGATGGTTGATGGCTTCATCGGCCTCCTTCAGAGACTTTGCTGGGAATACCACAGCACAGCATCTCCTTAAAACAGCATTTGGGTGAACACCATGAAAGCATGGCACACAATCACTGCCACTCAGAGATCTCTCACCGGTTATTGTTTGTTAACCACACATACTCACTTGGTTTTACAGTAAGCTACCACACAGACGATGCCCACCACAAGCAAGGCAACACAGATTCCTGTGATGGTTAGAACTCTTTTCTGGTAGAGCTCCTCTGCCTCTGCAAATGGAAAGAAAGAAATCAGTTGCAATCAGGCTCCAGCACCACAACGCACCTGGCTGCACAGGACCCAGCACTGCATGAGGGTGAGATGGAGAGTAGGACTCAGCCACACCTCCTACTGATCTGCTGCCCAAACCTGAGGCCAGCTGGCCCAGCCTTGCTCACCCCTCAAGAGCTCCTCAATCCTTTTGTCTCTCTGTAGCTCAACCCTTGCCCTCAGTAGCTCAGCCCTTCTCAAGCACGCTTCTGGCTTTCTCTTCTTTTCCCACAGCATAACTCAGTGACTAATCTCAGAGAGCCCCGTGAGTTTCCTTTCCTTTCCAGCAGATCGCCTTTTCTCAGTAGCTTGGTATCAAAGAAGGAAGCCCTTGAGCGTCCCCCAGCCACCACGTACCAAACATCCCTGTGATGCTCTCCTCACAGCTCTCTGCTCTGACGGACTCAGAATGCCTTTTCCTCGCAGCTGCTGCATGCTCCGGAGTTCGGCAGTGCACTGCACCCACCGAGCAACAGCCCCAAAGCATGCAGGTGCTGGGAGGGACATCCTAAAGGAGTCAAAAAGCAGAACGAAGATGGAAAAGTGATAGCACGTTAGACAAAGAAAAGGAAGTGGAGTAATTAAAATACAGTAACCAACTGCAGTTGTGGATTTTTAATGAAGCCCTAGGAAATGATTAATTCCATTGCACTGGGTAGCCCAGATGCACACACAAAATTCAAGCAGCACGCTGCTGCTTCTTTCAGATTCTGCTATTTGTCACGGACTGCCTTTCAAACCAGGAAAGTCAGTCACTTGCATCAGAACCCAGACCGTGCTAAAAGGCAGGTAATTCATTCCAGTTAATCAAAGCTCCAAGGAAATGGCAGGATATCACCTGCTGTGTGACTGAACCACACCTAGGCAGCAATTGCATGGCTATGGCTACTCCAAAGCAGATGTTCTTCTCAGAAAATCCAGCTACCTTCACTGAGACTAGCAATGGCAGTCTGGTGAATGACTAAGAGAAGGATCTAGTCCACAGCTGCCGTGAGCCTTGTATTTTAGCACCTACAGCCAATGTGCTTGTGTCTCCATACTATGTGTTAATTGTAAAGTCTCCGGGCCTTGTGTCTTCTCTAATATTCACTGAATTTTTCTTTTTTCCATGTTGATCAGGCAAAAAAACTTGTGCCATGGTTGCTGTGCTCGGCGTGTTCCACTGGCACACACTAGATACTTTCAATGGAATACGTGAGCTACAAAAACTATGAGATATAAAACTAGAAGAGAAACAGGTCTGGTTTCAGGTGCTAGCATCAACTAGAAGTAGGGCCAGACTCCAGAAAAAGACCATTGGATAAGTAACAAAGTATTCCAGATAAAGAAATATTTCGACTAATCTCAAATTTCCAATTTAGAAAGGAAAGTGCTTTTTGGAAATAAAATAAAATAAAAATAAAAATAAAATAAAATAAAATAAAATAAAATAAAATAAAATAAAAGTGCTGAGAAAAATGCTTATCTTTGTCTAGCACTCAAAATGGAAATGAAGGAAGAACTGCTAAACCAGGGGCTGCAAATAACCATCCTGACGTGAGGATGCAAAACATCATCAGGAGGGCTTGCTTCATGCCTCTGTTGCAAAGCTACAGTTTAAAGAAATAAATGTACACCCTTCTTGCCTGTGCCCTGGCCTTTGGCTTGATCAGGCTCTCTGAGTGCTGGTGGAGCTCGCCCAGAAGCACGTCCCCCCGTGCACCAGGGCCGTGGGCAGCCAGACCCCAGACTCCGTCTCCGCAGCCGGTGTGAGCAATGACAGAACACAGCTTGTTTGACTGCAGCTGACTGGGCTGCAGCAGTTGCAGCAGCCACCTGCACTGCCTCAGGCCAGAGCGCGGACGGTGCAGGACCTGCTCCTACCAGGGAGGTCCTTCCTGTTCCAGGCATCAGCAACCATGGCAGACAAGTTTTCTTGCTCTTGCACAGGTCTGGGACCTGGCTTACAGCTGGACAGCTATTTCCTTCAGACAGGAACCTCAGAGATTTTATCAGCATCAGAACCAGATAGGGTCATGTCCTGGGTACAGATGGAACTGGGCAAGAATTTAGCTGCTACCCAACTGTATTTCTTCACCAATTACCACAAACAAGGGGGGAAGAAGGACATTTTTCACCATAGATCAATCCGTGGAGCCAATTATTTTCAAAGCCTCTTTACCAGCTGCATCTCTTGCCATAAAGACATTTTTTTTTCAAGTTTAAATCCTTCTGTTTGAATTACGGAAGGGAGAGGGACAAAGAGAGCAAAGCCATCAAAACCATGAAGTGTTTTAGCCTGTTAGCTACCTAAAAAAAATTTCATCCAAGGCTCAAACCCTGGCCTCTGTTCAGGCAGTCATGTGGGCACAGAACTCTAAATGTCTGGCTCTCCTGAACTCCCACCTGCATTGTAAGGGGAATAATTCAGTTCATCAGAAATGCAGACTCAGGTGCTCTTTCCTGAGCTGACAGCTCTGCTGTGTGAAGCAGTGAAGCTGGAGGCTGTGCATCACTACTGCAAAAATGAAAAATTAAATGACCTGCTGTCAGTGATTTAGCTCAGCTCCTAACATCTCATTACAGTTGATGCTTGGTAAAATAGTATCTTCGTGCTGCATAAAATCATCTCGACAAAGACACAGAAAATAGGAGAATGCTTTCTGCAATTCTTTGTTTGGGAAGGTAAGATCCTGGAGCAGGACTTGTCCATTTATGTCTGCGTGCTCTAAAATGCCACATCTTCATCAGCAGCATTGTCACTCTACAGCAGCAAACACTACGAACAAACCATGTTGTGTCACATAATGTCGACAGAATCACAGTCCAGCCATGGGTTCACAGCAACGCATGAGAGTGAGAGACGAATGGCAGAGAAGAGACGACTGCAGACTGGGAACGGGATGTGTGCGGTTCTGTGATGACATTGAGAATGGATGAGGAAAAGGACAAAAGTCAACAAAAAAGGGATGTCAAAAATCCTTAATTTTAACATTTGTTTAAGTGTATTAGTATTAGCAGCACCACTTTCTCTGAAACCGCAAAATGCATTCATTTTCTGCTGCAGGAACAAGCTGCTGGCAATACACACGAGCCTTGGGGGAAAGGCATGCAAAAGCCAGCAGAGACCAACTTCTCCACCTTCAGCTTGTGCACAGCCCTCCGGCTCAGGGCCCCAAGAAGCCAATTTAGCATCCGGAAGTGAAATATTGGTGTCCCCATGTCTCTAGCAAATTGAATTGAAGTATCTTTATGAGAAGATCTGCTCCAGATGGCATTGCTGGGCCAATTTTTTTAAGCTAAGTGATAAAGACAAACCTCTCTGTTCTTGGTGAGCAACCCCTCCCACACTCGTCTGCGCACCCAGGGAAACCTAACCCAGGGATTTGATTTTCCAGGTGCTTACTCCAGAGAGATTTGATACACGTCTGAAAACAGAGTTAGGAGAAAGGAGGAAAAACACTATGACTGTGAGCAATTGGGTAGGAGCAGGGAGTCGCCTGTTTCCAAGAGGCTGTAAGCCAGTGTTTTTCCACGCTTTAGCTTGCCACCAGCTCAGCATCACACTGACTTCCCCGGGCTCAGTGTCTTCTAGAGGAGCTCACCTCCCGTCACATTCCATGGGTCAGTTTCTTCCTGTCAGGAACAGAAGGCAGCAGACGGCCTTTGGGAGGAGGTAAAACCCCCCCTGGCCCTTCATAGGACACAGTGGATGTTAGCGCACAGAACGGCAGCGCTGCAAAAGCCCTAAAACTTCCTAAAAACTCGCCTTCCCCTGCCTGTCCCCAAGTGGTGCCTGCTGGCAGACTTTAGGACTGACACAAACTCTTGCCTTTTGGTTAAAGGCACAGAAGCGTGTCGAATGAGGAGACCATGGTTTGGAACATCTCAGTCGTGCCACACGCACCTGGCCGCTGCTCGGAACAAAGAAAAAAGTGCTGCTAAAAATACACCTGCGTTTTTATCATTTTACATTTCGACTTTGCATTTTTACTTTGTTTTGGTTTTTAATCCAAACATCTGTCTCGGTGCCAGGGAAAAGAACAGAACAGCTGATTTTTTAATCATCCCATTAAAGCCATAAATATAATGTGGGCAGCTCTTAATGGCTTCTGATTAATAAATGAATGGTTGTTCCATACCCTTTAATTCAAATCCAAGATGCTCTGCCAATGCAGAAAGAAGACAAGGAAGAGAAAGAGAAAAAGAAAAACAGGTCTGTCAGAGATCTCTCATACACAAACACACTGTGCAGTTACAGCAGTTAGCGTCTCTGTAGGCTCAGCAGCAGTTACACAGAACACAGTGTATGCTTCAGAGCATTTTAAATTCCCACCAGAGCTTATATCTTATGTAAAGGAAGACCCAAACAAATTGCAGTGGAAGTTAATTATGAATTCTTTTAGTTGATTATGAATTCTTTTGAGATGAGCCATGTTTGTTAGTACCCGATGTGGAATTTACAGGTTAGGCAGGAAAGAAAAAAAAAGAAAAGAAAAAAAAAAAAAAGGTACACTTGTTCTGAAACAACTCCTGACTCCAGACAGGCCAAAACACATAGCGACCGTGTGAACCTGATAACCATTCATTCGCATTCTACAGGCAACATGTGCCCCTGTGCCCGGGGCTGCGCACAAAGCAGCGCGCTCAGCAGACACGTGCAGGCGCTTGCACGGGGCCTGCAAGCACAGCGCTCCTGCCCATGACCTCAGGTCTGGTCTTGGATGCACAATGTCATCTGGCAGCACGGCCTGCTCACCTCCTGCCGGCATGTGCATGGTGAAGCACTGCTCTTAGCAGCACGGATTTGCAGCTGTACCACTGATACTGCAAGTGATTAGTTGCCCTGGCAAAGGTAATGAATCCCTTGCAGATCTAAAAGTGCAAATTGCACTGCAAGCTTCCCTCGAGTCTGTGATCTTCCAAATTTCACTTCTGCTGTGGTTCTGCATTTTTAGAAACGACAAGCATGCCAAAAAAA